CAGCAACCCTCAGTTTGTTTTGTGAGATTAAGAGTCACTTATGGTTTATCTCCCTCCCAATCCCATCTTGCTTCATTTACTCTTCTCCTACCCCCTTAACCCCCCATGTTGCATCTCCTCTCCCTCATATCAGGGAGATCATATGATAGTTGTCTTTCTCTGATTGACTTATTTCACTAAGCATGATACCCTCTAGTTCCATCCACGTTGTCACAAATGGCAAGATTTCATTTCTTTTGATGGCTGCATAGTATTCCATTGTGTATATATACCACATCTTCTTTATCCATTCGTCTGTTGATGGACATCTAGGTTCTTTCCATAGTTAGAAATGTATTTTTTTAAATACACCTTTTTCCAATATTATAAACAAACACCTTCACAATAGCTATGATAATATTTCTATTTCATATGGGGGAACTTAATGATATACTGATTGTAAAAAGCATAGTACCTCACACATAAAGAATATTACTAAATTATGATATAACAACAACAAAAAAACAGCACCTATTTGTCTATCAAAAATACTAGAAATACCTTTAGTTTTATCTCAAGAAATGAATAAAAAGGATCAATCAATTAACTTGTTTTAGGTATAGAAAAACATAAGCACAAAGTTGAACAGTAAACAACAAATTGGTAAATACTTGCAAAATCTCTAACAAGGTTGACTTCCATTATAGAGAATCCTAATAATGAAGCAAATGACAGACAATTCACATATCATGTTGAAAAGACTTCCCTTATCAGGTAAATTAAAATACAATAATTAAACTAGACTAGAACTATCCTTTCTTTAGCACCAGACTAGGAGATACCAAAACAATCAAAACCAAGCTACTACTCAATGCCAACAAGGATGAAGAAAAACAGGCACTTGTTGGCAAGTGACTGGGCTTAATCCTTTTGTAATGTAACTTGGCAGTATTTATTAAAAAATTTAAGTGTTTATGTCCTTTGATCCACCAATCTTTTCTAGGCATTAACCCTACAAAATTAGGTTTATAAATGGGTAGGTAACACACACTAACACACAAACAGAATTTAGTGTGTCCCCCCTCTCTGGTTTCTTCCCATTCATTTTCTGAATTTAAAAAAAATCAGAAAAACTCCAAATCCCTGCCAAAAGGAACATCGGGCAAATTGTTACATGCAATGAAGGACAATAGAGACACTGAAAAGAACACAGTTTTATAAAAATATTCATAATTAATCAGGTGAATTAAGTTTCACAGTTGGACCCTCTCTCTAATAAAAACCAAACTAAAGCTCCATAGTTACACCAATCCCCTATGTCTTCCACACTAGAGATAAGCAAACATTTTCTGTAAAGGACCTGAATGTAAATACTTTAGATTTTGCAAATTATATGGTTTCAGTCACAACTACTCAGTTCTGTTATTACATCAAAAAAGCATCCATAAACAATATGTAAGCCAGTGAGCCTGGCTGTATTATAAAAATACTATTAGAAACTGAATTGAAATTTCATATAATTTTCACCAGTCAAAAATATTCTTTTCTTTAAAATTATTTTCAACCATTTAAAAATATAAAAATTATTCTTAGCTCACAAGCCATATAAACAGGCAGTAAGCCATAGTTTAATAACCTATTTCAGTCTATGAAGCATCTACAGAATTCATTTATTGTTTAACTCAACATGTACTCTAAGCACCACACACTCCTGACAATGGAGACATAGTAGAGAAAAAGCAGACCTGGTCCCTGCCCTCAAGAACTTTAAAGACTATCAATTAATAGCACAAGTTAAAGGAAAAATCTATTTGAGTATGAAATTTTCAAAGTTTCATTCACTAACTTGTACTTATATAAGCTCTAAAATAAAATGTCTCAAGACAGATGCCCCCAAAAAGAACAGATTTGAAAATGCTAACACCTCACATATCACAAACAAATGACAAGGTTGGTAACTTGGTTTAAATAATGGTCACTGAAACAAAACTTTCAGGGAACACAATGCTTTTCAGCAACAGCTATATATATAACAAGCTGTTTTGTGTGTGTGTGTGTGTGTGTGTGTGTGTGTATAACAAGTGTACTTGAACTTTCCTGTATTTGTTAATAACTGATAAGCTTTCGGTCCTACAATGCAGACAAAGGTGAAATATTATATTGGCTATTCATAAAGAAAATCTTTACCTATTTTTAAAATCTAAAAACCATTATCAAAAAAATTTTGATTTTCAGATCAATCCTTTCACCTATCACTTTCTTTACCTAGTATACCTTATAATTCTAGAGGTAGAGAAGCAACACCAAACAAGTCAGAGCAAATCTAAAAAAATCATAAAAATTCAAACTTACCTAGGTTGGGACCACATTTATAGAGAGTCCTTAGCCAAACAGGATATTAATGTGAAAAAATTAAGAGTTTATGAAAACTTGAGAATAAAGACTATGATCAATAATGTATTTTTTTAGGGGTGCCTGGGTGGCTCAGTGGGTTAAAGCCTCTGCCTTCGGCTCAGGTCATGATCCCAGGTTCCTGGGATAGAGGCCCTCATTGGGCTCTCTGCTCAGCAGGGAGCCTGCTTCCCTTCCTCTCTCTGCCTGCCTCTCTGCCTACTTGTGATCTCAGTCTGTCAAACAAGTAATATCTTTTAAAAAAAAATTTAAAAAATGCATATTTTTTAAATCTTAAATTTTTATAAAAGCATTTGTGCAATCAACTTACATTAAAATCAAGAAGGGCATCCATCTGATTTTGAATAATTGGTACAGTTTTGAGGAGTTTTTCAGTGTTCATTGTTCTCATAACACCATCAGCCCTGTTTTTAAATTAAAAAAAAAAAAAAAAGAATTGTTGTTAAATCTACATTTTAAGCTCCAATCTGGTTCTCTAAAGAGAACAAGTTGCTATAAAACATCACATATTTTTAAGTCATTATCAAACCTGACACTTCAACGAAAGTCATACAGAGAAAAAACAAAACAGGAAACACTGTATGTCCAACATCAAAGAACTAAAAAAAAAGTGTAAAAACATTAGACATAAAAATCAAAGCTTACATTATACAGCCAGATTTACAGCATATTTTTCACATGAGGAATCATCTGATCCTCACACCACTTATATGTGTAAAGGGCAATTCTACAGATTTTTTTTTTTTAATTGAAGAAAAAAAAAAAAAAAGAAATCATCATTGGCCTCAAATCACTAAACATTTAGAACATGATGGAGCCAGGAGATGAACTCAAGTCAGAGTAAGCACTGCTTTATTTAAGGGATTTTATTTATGACTCACACAGCAATGACTTATAAGCCATTAAAATATGTGATATTTAAGAGGAATGCTTCTAAATATTCTATTAAAATTTCCCAAAGATTTAAATATTACTTTAGATATTTAGTCTAAAGATACAAGAAATATTAGCAGTGTCAGAAAAAACTAGAATTTTACAAAAGTAGTCCCCAAAACACTAGATAAAAGGTACCTGGGGCTAAGGTACACAATGAACATCAGGCTCCATTTTAGGGGTTGGTGTATGTTTTTTAAATGCTCACCAAAATCCTATAGATAGACTATTCCCACTCTGTTTGATGAAGTTTTAGGTTCCTTGAGATATATGACTGTCTTAAGGTCAGAGAACTAATAGGTGGTAGGATCATTATGTAAACCCAGGTATATTAGACTCAAGAACAGTGCTGTTCATAACCTTTTGTCAGAAAAAAAAATCACTTCCAGAAAGTGTGTAGACTTTTTCTAATTTACAAATGACCTACATTTACTTACAAACAGCCACTCCTCTCAACTTCAGTTAAAATGCACTAGTTTAGGTCATGTAGTAGAAAACCCATGTTGATTCTCCAACGGGTACTTGTCTAACATTATATGACTAGACTTACAGTGTTTTCTTCACTATAAAATTTCCCTGTCTTGCTGGCTCCTCATTCTTTACACATCCTCTAAAATACATGTTTTGTACCTTAAAGTGTTCCTTGGCCCCATCCTCTCACTCTATACTTAAACCCCCAAGTAATCTGTCATTCCCAACACAGAAATCACCAAGATGCCAATGACAGACTTATACTCCCAGACCAAAACTCCCAAGTTCCAAGTTAGTATGTCTAATTGCCCACTTCATATCTCATCTTGTATAAATAACAGGCATGTCAAAACTAGTATTTCCAAAACTAAATCCTTAATGTTGTACCACTATGCCCAATTCTACTCCACTCCAAACTCTTCCCAGTAAAAGGTGCCCATCTCCCCAGGGACGTACACCAGAAACCCTAGGGACAATTTTGATTCCCCTTCTCTCACTAGCTCCCCACATCATGTCTTTCCAAAGAACTTCAAATTTCTCAATTAAGAAAAATCCTAACAACTACCAAATGCTTATATTAGACTTTAAAAGACTCAAATATTTCACAAACCCAAGTGCTTTAATATGATTCAGACCAAATATACGACAATTCATACTCCATACAGAACATCAAGTTTTAGGACTCCTTAAATACATTATAATTAAATTCAGATACTTGTTTCTCAAATAAAAAAGCAATGGATTAAAGGCTGGTCACCCATGTTCTTATTTACAGAAAATACCTGGGTTATTCTGTCTTTTGCTCATTATATAGTAATGTCTTGATACTTTGAATCACACCAATTCAGAATTCAAGGTAATTCAATTTTAAGTTAGTACTATCAAAAAGTGGAATGTTAAAAAGAAAACATAGGGACTGATATTTAATAACCAACTGTAAAGATTAATCCACAGGAAACTGGATCCATTTTTCATAGAACTATTTAATATGGGGCGCCTGGGTGGCTCAGCGGGTGAAGCCTCTACCTTTGGCTCAGGTCATGATCTCAGGGTCCTGGGATCGAGCCCCACATCAGGCTCTCTGCTCAGCAGGGAGCCTGCTTCCCCTCTCTCTCTGCCTGCCTCTCTGCTTACTTGCGATCTCTGTCAAATAAATAAAATAAAAAATCTTTAAAAAAAAAACTATTTAATATACTATTTACAAACTGCTCTAGCCATCTTTTCAAAAACTGCTAAACACCTACTATGTTTAGACACTGTGGTAAGTCCTGAAGATATATTATGACTAAGGTTATACTGCCCTCATGGAGGCGACATGTTAACATAAAATCTAACAACAGAAATAAGATTTCCTCAAAGAAATGATGTTTGAGTGAATTATTGAAGAATGACTAAGTATTTACCAAAATAACAAAAAAAGAGGCTTTACTGAAAGAAGGCAGTACTCCTGCCTCTCTGCCTACTTGTGATCTCTGTCAAATAAATAAAAATAATATCTTTAAAAAAATTTTAAAAAAAATAAAGAAGGCAATACTTATAAGCAAAAAGTGATTTAACCATTACTGGTTAGTAATTCATCTTAATTTTTTAATATCCTATACTTCTATTAGAAAATATAGCTGATCTCCACCTCACGTTTTTTATACCAAGATATGTTACAAATGAATCAAAGACTTTAACATAAAATACTATATCCATAAATATATACAATGAAAACATGAATAGGTAATTGATCATTTTGGGGGTAGAAAAGCTCATTTTGAGTGTCCTAAAAAGAGAAAAGCCATAAAAATAAAAGACTACTCATAAGATTTAAAAACTTTTCATAATGTTTAAAAAAGAGAGAATATACTTGTAACTCATAACAATTTATCTTCCTAATAAACCAAAAGCTTATTTGTTGGAATGTTTGCCATGTGCTAAGCATTACACACAGTATTTAATTCTTACTACGATCCTAACAGACTAGTAATATCACTGTTTTTCATCTTACAGATGAAATAATTCAGAACTTAAATCAAGGCTTTTCCATTGTGCCAGAGCAAACAGTACAAATAGGCTATCTATGCATCAAGATATCAATCCTTAACCTTTCAGCCTCAAGAAGTGTTCTTAATTTAATCCATTATCCTGTACAAATAGTATCAGTGTATGTGTCATATGAAAAAATTAGCATGATGGATATGTAAAAAAAGATCCTTGGGGGCACCTAGGTGGCTCAGTCACTAAGCAACTGCCTTCGGCTCAGGTCATGATCCCAGAGTCCTGGGATCAAGCCCCACATCTGGCTTCCTGCTTCTCGGAGTTACCTATATTACCTATATTATTCTTGCAGCATTTCTGGAAGTGAAATTATTTCAAAATAAAATTATTTTTTAAAAGTGAGCAAGCTGGCTGAAGTATGTTACTAAAATTCCTCATCTAACTGGAGTAAAGCTAGAATTCAAACCCAGATTAATCTGACTAAACAGCCTGGGAGAGAGGGACGCATGGTTAGTGACACTCCCACTGCTTGTGCATGCACACTCTAAAAATGAATAAATAAAATCTTAAAAAAATAAATAAATAAACAGCCTGTGAGCTCTTAACATTAAACACAACAGGAAAGAATAAAATACCGAATAGGAAGGGGGCAAAAGATACTGAAAGGCAATGAACAAAGTATGGATTGCATTTTAAGAGACAAAAAGGCTCAGTATCACCATTTATTGAATTATTCAATCACTCAACGTAAAATGAACACCCGGTAAGATACCTTTTCATGAGGATGGAAGAGTACAGAGGTATCTGTAACTGTATTTAAGTCAATAATTTGGTATAACTTTTATAAAGGCCAATTTGATGTTTTCTATTAAAATGTTAAATGTGTATACTGGTTTACACATACCAAACATACAAAATTATTACCCCAATAAGTAAAACTTTACTATTTACCACACAAATCCTCTCCAAAAATAAACAACTCACTGAGGTTCAGCCATAATATGATACATTTCAAGCGCTGTCACTTTCTCAACTTCTACCCTAATGTCCCGTTATTTTTTCTTCCTTATATACATAATCTGATAAATATATATGTATGTGGATGTATCTGTGTGTGTTTGTCAATTTTGTGCTTCTTGGTTCACTTAATTATGGCTCCTTGATTCACTTTCCTTTCCCTTTAAGAATAGTTTCCTTTATGTCAATACTAAATATATTGTGATTAATCAAGGCTGTTCTCAGCCAAATAATAAAAGTCTGCTCTATTAAATACAGAGTGCAGCAACTCTCCTCAATCTCAAAACTAGCCCTTCAGTTTAGGAAAAAAGTTACTACTTTAAAAAATCTATTAATATGGGGGCAATTGGGTGGCTCAGTCGTTAAGCGTCTGCCTTCGGCCCAGAGTTCTGGGATCGAGCCCTACATTGGGCTCCCTGCTCGGTGGGAAGCCTGCTTCTCCCTCTTCTACTCTCCCTGCTTGTGTTCCCTCTCTCACTGTGTCTCTGTCAAATAAATAAATAAAATACTTTAAAAAATCTATTAATATGAAATCTACAAATATCCTGAAGATTAGTTTTACTGAACATACTTTATAGTGAAATATTACAGAAGTCAAAATGGAAAATGGTTCATGGGACAGAATACTGGAATTAAGTACCAGATTTTTAAGATGAACTCCTCTATTATCATCTCATAAACAAGAAAGTACTTTAAGATAGGAAACAAAATCTGTGGAATTTAGTTTTGGTAAATTCCAAACTAATCACCTCCTGATTAATTTGGAATAGCTACACAGAACATTTAGGTTTTAAAGATGCCTAGTGGGATGCCTGCAGTCAGTTAAGCAGCTGCCTTCAGCTCAGGTCATGATCACAACGTCCTGGGATAGAATCCCACATCAGGCTCCTTACTCCTCGGGGAGCCTGCTTCTCCCTCTGCCTGTCACTCTGCCTCCCTGTACTCTATCTCTCTGACAAATAAATAAATAAAATAAAATAAATAAATGTGCCTAGAGTCGCCTGGGTGGCTTAGTTAGTTAAGGGTCTGACTCTTGGTTTCAGCTCAGGTCATGATCTCTCACTCATGGGATCAAGCTGAGTCAGGATCCATGCTCAGCCCAGAATCTGCTTGGTATTCTCTCCCTCTGCCTTCCTCCCAACCCCTCCTCGCCCCCCACGCCACCCTGCACGTGCAGGCAAACTCTCCCTCAAATAAATAAAATCTTTTAAAAATAAAAATTAAGGGCGCCTGGGTGGCTCAGTGGGTTAAGCCTCTGCCTTCGGCTCAGGTCATGATCTCAGGGTCCTGGGATCGAGTCCCGCATCGGGCTTTCTGCTCAGCAGAGAGCCTGCTTCCCCCTTTCTCTCTGCCTGCCTCTCTGCCTACTTGTGATTTCACTCTCTGTGTGTCTAAGAAATAAATAAAATCTTTAAAAAATAAATAAATAAATAAATTAATTAAAATTAAAATTAAAAAATTTTAAAGATTAAAAAAAAAATTTAAAGATAAAAATGCTGAGGCGCCTGGGTGGCTCAGTCAGTTGGGCATCTGACTCTTGCTTTGGGCTCAGGTCATGGTCTCCCAGTTGTGGGACTGAGTCCCACTCCGGGATCTGCATTCACCAGATCTGCATTCTGCTGGAGATTAATCTCCCTCTCCCTCTGTTCCTCCCCCTGTTCCTGCACTCACAAGCACACACTCTCTCTCAAATAAATAAATAAAATCTTTAAAAGCTAATGATTAAATAACCAAGCCGTTATTTCTACATTCGTATTAAATTTTCCATTGAAGTCTAATAATTTAACATTTCAAGAGAACAATTTAAAGAAAACATTAATTGCTTAAAGATTTGAGCGGTAGGGAAATTCAGAAAGGCACTTATCAAAATTATTTCTGCAGAAGCTAGATTCCCCTTAGGGCAGTCCTTTAGAGCTATAAGGGTCACCAATGCCCCTTAAGAATGTCTTTAGTGGCTTTTACTTTTTTTTTTTTTTAAGATTTTATTCATTTATTTGACAGACAGAGATCACAAGTAGGCAGAGAGGCAGGCAGAGAGAGAGAGAGAAGCAGGCTTCCCGCTGAGCAGAGAGCCTGATGTGGGGCTTGATCCCAGGACCCTGGGATCATGACCTGAGTCAGAGGCAGAGGCTTTAACCCACTGAGCCACCCAGGCGCCCCGTTAGTGGCTTTTTCCTAAGATCTTCTATCATATACCCCAAGAAAAATCTATATACCAGGTTGTATCAGGTAGCAATCCACACTGCAACAAGGATGCTACAACTTGAATACATTTTGCTAGGTGAGAAAAGCCAGACTCAAAAGGCCACGTAATGTATGATTTCATTTACATAAAATATCCAGAATAGGCAAACCCATAAACACAAAGTAGATTTGTAGCTGCCAGGGTCTGAAGGAAGATGGAAACGGGAAGTGATTCCTAATGGGTGTGAGGTTTCTTACAGAAATGATGAAATGTTCCGATATTAGACAGTAATGTGGCACAACTTTGTAATATACTAAAACCCACTTAATTATATACTTTAAAAGAGTGAATTTTAGGTTGTGTGAATCGTAGCTCAATAAAGCTGTTATCCTAGCACAAAAAGTGTATGATGTACTTCAAAGAAATAAAAAATTCATCATTCAAAACTGGTCTGACATTTCATAATTCGTAACTTAATTTCTATGGTTTACATTTTAAAATAGCCAAATACATCAGATATATATAAAAAAAGGAAAGCTTAACTCACCCCCTTTTCACTTTTGTGAAATCAAATGCAACTTGTCTGTATGAAACTGCTTTTTCATTGAGATATCTACTATACCGCCTAATAAATGTAGACATGTCATATCCTGTAAGAAACAAAAAATGTTTTCACAAATTACTGAAATCCCAATTTGCTTAGAAAACCAACTCATTTCATCCAATGACAATATCTTGATATCCCAACTCAATCTAACAATGTATATTGTGACTAATAATAGTATCACATTAAAATCTCTAAGACCTCACGTTTTAAGTCAAGAAAGTCCTATGTGGCTTTGAAAAACCTCCCCCCACTTATAATTTCACTAATAAATATTTCTATTTTACCTCTAACCAACATTCCTACCACAACTGGAAAACCGTGTTCTCTTAAACACTCTTTGATAACCTCATAATTCAAATTTAACATCCTATGGGACCATAAGCCCCTGTCCTCAAATCATTTTGCAATTTTATAATTTTCATACTTATGAAATCTTCAGTTGTGTATTATTTGTAATAACCAAACTTACATATGCCAATCTTGTAAGAAGTGCATAAAATTATTGCATAGTACAATGAAAGAAACAGCAATATGCAAGTTTAAAGCATAATAAGAAACTAGAGGGATATTTTCGATAAAACTTTAAGATTTTATCATAATCATGAGATTTGAAAACTTCAGCAACATACGATCAAATCAATGCTATTTAAAAAGCAACTTGTATTTTAATTATTGCTTTGCTCAAGGAGTCTACAATTTTTGCTACTCATTAAAAAGCAGGTCCATCTTATTTTAGTTCATCTTCATCTAATAAATTTCACTTTATTTGATGATCTCTACAACTTTAATAAAAGACAATAGCAAAAGGGTAACATTTTTGTGACTGGATTTAACATCATTACCAATTCATTTATTCAGCAAATATTTATTGAGTGCCTACTCAGTGCTGCTGGAGAAAAACCAATGAACAAAATGGAAAAAAGAAATGACTGCCCTCATATATTCTCGTAACTACTACTGTATTGTATAAGGTGTTACATATATTCCCTACCTCTTTTAGTTTCTGACACTTTCCTTGAACACTGTGTTCCCATATTACTCTTATTCCGTGTTCAGTTTCTACCTCTTTGATGTACAGTGTTTAACTCACTAGACTAGAGGCTTATTTATATTTATACACACCCAGTATAACATCCAGTGTGTGCATGTGTATATATATATAGACACACAAACACACACACACACACACATATAACATAACAGACTTCACCCAACAAAATACATATGCAATAAAAATTATTTGTCAAAACCACTGAATCACATGCTTTTATTTACTTTCTGGGCTTTCTCTACAGAACAGGAGCTTCAAATAAAAGGCCTAAAAAATGTTCTCTACATAAAAGGAACAAAAGTCCTAAAACCTTATTACTAGAAGTGCTTAATTCCCATCTTAAGAAAGTAGAATATCAGTAGCTAGTAAGACACCAAAAATTCCCCATTTGGACAAATGCATATACTCTGCTTTTGAGTAGTGGTTTGCAAACTGTTTTCCAGAGATTCTTAACTTCTAATGAAGTGAATGAAGGGAAATAGAATCAAAAATACAAGCAAGTAGAGTTTCTTCCATATCCCTGAAGAGAGACCAGGTCCAGTTTTATCTGCTACATATTTCTGGTGTCTATTTAAGGTTTTACTTGAAAAAGGTATTCTACTGCTTAATTTATTCTTAACTAACTACTGAGAGTACTACTCCTCTTAAAAAAAAAATCGATCTTGTAACACTCAGCCCTATCTAGAGATTACTGGCCTTCCAAAATCTCTGGAAGATAGGGTACTTGATTCATTCTAATTAATACTCCCATCTGCCCAAAGTGAACAAGTATTGAACTGGGCAGTCCCTGGCCCAAACACTGCTAGTCACTAAATTCCATTGATGTTACCTCCGCAAAAGACATTATTCAGGTCCTCACTACCTTTCTACTAGTGACCAGAACAAGGACCAGAATAGTCTCAATGTCTTTAAGACTTTATCACTCTAATCCAACCTGTACTGACCTATGGCAATTTCTTTATAACACACACTCCCTCTCCCCTTCTTCCTCAAATCAAAAAACTCTGATGATTTCTCACTGCATTACAAAACCCCAACTCTATAAAAATCTTCCATGTCTGATTTTGGCCCCAAACAGCTTCTTGAAGGCCATCTGCCACTACATGTCCTGCAATACGTCACTTGTAAATTCTATTCAAATTCATTTGCTCTACAAATCTTAAATATCCCATACTCCTTCACATCTATGTACATCTATGTACCTTTGCTTAAACCAACCCACATCCTTGTCCATCTTTCAAAGCCCAAAAAAAAACCTCCCCTTCTCCAAGGACATTTCCCAGATTGAGCCCTACTGCTGAATATTTCCCAAGTCGTGTGATATGTCCCTTATGATGTCATTCCTAGACTTGACCCTGTACAATGTTAACAGCCTAGTTCTCGAGCTAAGTACAACAGATCCCAGTAAGACAGAACATGCATAGAGCACACAGCAATCTCAAGTTACTGAATTAGAAGTAGAATAAATAACAGATGTGAGCATCAGTGAGCAACTCATCCGAGTAACATACCATACTTACTTTTGCTACTAAAATATATAATATTCCCAGCTAGATTTTTAAAATAAAGCATAAAATAACAACAGTAACAATGAAATCTCATACTTACATAGAGTTTCCTGTGTGCCAGGTATTGTTGTAAGCACTTTACACTTATTAACTAGATTAAGCCTCTTTATAACCCTAGAGAGTAAGAGTTATCATTATTCCTGACTCTATAGACCCAGAGAGGTGAAGTAAGTTGCTCAAATTCACACTGCTGGTTAGTAGTAAAGAAGGGACTAAAACCCAGGCAGTTAAGTTCCAGAATCCATGCTCTGAAACCACTATCCAACTTTATTTCTTAGAGTTCTAGGTGTCAAGTACTAAAGTCAATGTAATCATCACATTAAAAGGCAGTCTTTTCTTCCTTATACCTTTCACTAAAATATGTGATTCCTCCACAGCTAAAAGACAGAGTTCAACTCTGCAGTAGTCATCATACAGGGTTGATTTTCTATAATGAAAAAGTTGTCTTTACCTTGCAATCCACTTTTATCCAAAAAATTGCTTAAGTTAAACAGCGTGTTTCTTGAAGCCAAATACTGAATAAAGCGCTGGAAAACAAATGATTATGTCAAATTTAAGGTAATGTCATCTAACAACCTCTAATTCAACAATGGGGAAGGGGGTGTGTTTAACACATTCTGTTAAGCTTATCTAACTTAAATTTCTCATCCTCAGTCCTACTAACGAGTTACCAAACCTAAATACATAATCCATATATGTCACTAGCACAGAGGAATTTATTAAAGCCTAATGCTCATGGCTTTGGCATAAGCATCAAAATAAAAGGAAACAGGCACTTTTACCCTGGAATCAGCAATTCTGGCTTTACTACTGCATTATTAGAGCTATAGCTAATCACACTAAAGTGGCAACTTTACTTTAAACAGCTACCTGATGACCCATATTTTTATGACATTTTTAAGAATGAAATACAATCATACAAGAGAATAGTATTACAGATATCCCCTTACCCACTGTCCAGATTAAACCAAGGCCATATTTACTTTAGTTCTTCTTACAGAAACAAAACATTAAAGAGTCTTTTGAAGCACTCCTTCTATCTCATTTCCTTCCCTCTTCAAAATCAATCACTTTTCTGAAGTAGGTTATCTATCACTCTAACACATATTTTTATAATTTTTCTATTTAACCCATACAAGGTACAAATTTTCTTTTCTATTTTAAATTTACAGAAAAATCATACCATACTTATTCTTTTCCAATGTGCTTAAATTTTTTAGTAACTTTTCCTCAATAATTATCCATTTAATATATGTAGATCTAGTTCACTCATTTAAAGTGATGTTCTAGTATTTCAGTGACCTACTATATCATTATATATTCATTTCTTCATGGATGTTTAAGTTCTTTCCAATTTCACTATTATTAACAATGTTTCACAGGCATCTTTGTATTGGTCTCCCTGTGCAAACATATAGGAGTTTACCATGATATAAACTTAGGGTAGAATGGCTGGATCAGCATGTATGTAAAGGTCATCTCAAAATTCTGCCAAATTCTCTCCAAAGTACTTACCACAGAACACAACCTTAACTTCCCTTTATATACACCCTCTAAAATATCTAATTCCTTTCAATTTCACTTCTCCTTAGGATTTCCTTCTCTTTTTTTTTCAATGTGTGCAAAGGGTAACTATCAATTAGGGTATACACCATCACTCCCCTAATCTTGTTCATCTGCCTTCACCTCAAACTAACAAGCCAGAATTCTGAAAAACAATTTGTAAATTGAAGGCTCACATTTCATCATTTACCCTAAAATGACTGGTTACAAAAAAGTGTTATATTATCCTAAGACAAAAGGTCCCCAGGTGGCTCAGTTGATTAAGTGTCTGCCTACAGCTCAGGTCATGATCCCAGGGGCCTGGGATCCAGTCCTGAACGGGGTTCCCTGCTCAGCGGAGAGTATGCTTCTCCCCCTGCCGGGATTTCCCATCGGAAGTAAAAAAATAAAATCTTGAACAAAATCCTAAGACAATATTAAACTCCATGATTTTCATAAGTGGTGATAATTCTTTATTGTGGGAAGTTTGCCCTGTGCATTATTATATTTAGATTATATTATTTAGATATATATTATATATATATATTAAAGGCATCCTTTGCCTCTACCTAGGGATGCCGAGACCATCCCCATCATTTTTGACAAATGTCCCCTGGCAGGGGCAGAACAGGGGATCACTTTCCTCCCTTCCCGATAGTATTCTCATCACCAACAGCACAGTAAAATCATATGCATACTTTCTCAAAGACTAATAAACCTGTCAATGAGAAGAACATCACATTTGTCTTAGCTTAAGGGAAATTAAATATGGGTTTATCTAAAAACCACACAGAAACGCTATCTCTCTTCTCCTGTCAGTCAAATGTAAGGAATGACAGTCAATTTTGTTTCTTTGCCTTTGTCAAGGTTTTACTTCTAATATTATCACCTTATTTACAGTCTCTAAAAGCCATTACTAATAGTTTTCCTCTTAATTTGGCATTCTAATTGGTTATATTTGTGGCTTTTTCTTTTTAAAGAATAAACTATAATATTTTTTAAAAAGGTGAAAAATACAATAAGCCTGAAATTCTTCAGAATGATCATGATCTTAAATAAACAAAGTATCAACAAAAACAGAAACTATTACCCTAGTTAAGATCAAAATGCTTCAAGTTATATTAAAGCTAGTATATCCAAATATTTTGATTGACTCTGTACACTGGTTATAATAAAATAGAAAGCAACTGAGCAATATTGTCCTAAAAATGATCGAGTCTATTGACTAAGCAATCATATTTCAGCTAACACATCTGGAAATAACTTTTGAAACTTAAATACTACCAATAAAATCACCCAATGTGGAGCTGCTATTAAAAATAATCAGAAAGCAAAATTTCTAGGAAAGGGAAAGAAAATTATAGAATATATGACCCATTAGGTTGTCACTAAAAATGATAAATATATAAAAAACATAGAATATGGAAAAGCTTATGGTTTCATGTTATATAAAAAAGCTAAATGTAGTATTTTATCTAAATTTTGATTGTAGCTATAAAAAAATAATTCCTGGACAAGGACCAGAAGGGAACACCAAAATGTACATACAATAAGGTCTGCTGCAATGAAATACGTAAATTCTTGCTTTAATTCTGAACTTCAGTGATGCTTTCTGGTATCTGCCAAAGCTGACAGCAGAGCTTTATCACTGAAAAGCCCAAAATGAGTAAAGTGATGGGTGTCGGAAGTAAGTATACCAATAACTAAAGTCCCTCCCCATTTCTCCAGAAGCCCTCTCTCAGCAACCAGTGGGCTGCATTTTTCTAAAGTGCATACTAAATGTAGATTTATCTACACGCATTAAAATATTCTTTTAACATAATTTTAAATGTTCGCTTTAACTCAACTTTACAAGTAAGTATATTGGTCTGAGGAAACCATTTAAGAACTAAAAAATCTACTGCTAGGCTATCATGGAAAACAAGACGTTTCTCTCCAACATTAAAACGCAAAAGCTTACACATCTTTTTGCTAACTTTTTGGGGAATGAAGACTTCAACGAAGACTTCAGACACACCTCTGCTTAAGGCACTCTTAAACAGTCCCTCTCAGCAAATGCCATCTTAGTCCTCAATAGCTTTCAACTAAGTGAAGTGGTTCCAGAGACTGTATGAAATGAGATAGACATCTGAGCCACAATAAAGCAAAAAAGACAAACATATGGTCTACACATAAGATCTACAACAGTGCTGCTTACAGAACCTACCTTTTAGAGATTAATCTCTGTTTCTTGATCCCATTATTATAAGTCCTCTGTGCTTTGACCCACTTTCGCTTCCCAACTTACAGACCATCTCCTCAAATTGTACAATCTACAATTCTATTTCTGCCTAGTCACTTTGCCCTTTTAACCTGTTATTATTTGGTTGCTGAAGTCGTTCCTGAAATTTCAGTGGGAGAATCAAGCTGAATCATCAGTCATCACAGCAGTATGCTTAATTAAAAATATGGCTTACCTCATTTCCATACACCATCAAATGATGAGTTGTAATGAGAGATTTGAAGACCACCACCCAACTACTGTTAGTAGTTCTTTCAAATAAACTGTCTGCCAACTGTGGGATGTTCACATTCATCTCATTTGTGCACTGAATTAAGTCTGCAATTAAACAACAACAACAACAACAAAAAGATTTAATCTCTAGCTTTAATTTACTTCTAATTTCAGATGTGCATGCTGACAAGTGGAAAACCTAACAGTGGAGCAACAACAGATAGTCTGGAGAAGTCATTAAAAATCTCTTAGGAGAACAATTGAGACCACTGAGAAGTTAAGAGGATACTGAGTAGGGTCACATAAATGATCAGTAACAGCAAGTAAATCAAACTTCCTTTGAGAGCAATTCACCCTCAAATATTCTATTTATCTCAAAAGGAGCTATTTCAAAGAACCTGAATTCCTGGAAGAACTTTCAATTCTGTTATTACTCATAAACCTTCAGAACTACCATGCTAGGATTATTCATCCCTACCATTAAAAAAAAAAAAAAAAAACTTAAATCATATATATGGAAGCATGAACAAGCTGAGGGTCCAACTACCTTTATTAATATTCTCCCTAGAATGCTGTGTTTGCATTATTAAAAAGACAGAGCAGATACGTGGTCTGAGAGTGGGCAGGATCTCAGTTTGTTTATATAAATTTTCATTCTTCTCTCCCTTCAGTTTTACTGAGTTAGCTCAGTTACCAGTTCGTATCAACTAGCTAATACTAACAAATAAAAATGGAAACTAACAGAAGTTTTTGCTGCATAAATTTCCAAGTAAGAAATGATCAGGAACTTCATTTGCTATTACTCTGAACAGTTAAAACAACGTATGTCCCAATTTTATGTTTTAAGCAGGAGAGCATTATTATAAAATGGTCTAACACAATTATTTCAGCACCAAAACTGAGGGAGAGGCAGCTCTAAACAGACCTCAGAGTTTTACCTCCAATGTACTCAGAGACATTATTTTCAAATTCAATGAAGAAAATAAAAATACAATCCAATTTAGAGAACAGAGAAATGAGTTGTTTTAAAGTATGTTTAAAAATATATAAATATCTCAGCTGTAACTACCATAAAGGGAAAGAAATTAAAGTTATTCATGACTCATAAGCAGTCTGCCTTTTTACTCTCCAGCACATAATGATTAAATAAAAATTCAAGTGACCTAACTTGGCCTTGATAGCAAGAAACACCAAAGTAGCGCTAACCATTTATCTGCTTACAATCTTTCAAAAATGTCTGTTCCAGCGGGCGTTGGTGGTATAGTGGTGAGCATAGCTGCCTTCCAAAAATGTCTGTTCCAACAGGCCCAATTATTATACAAAGTAACATTTGATAAGCAAGTGAATTTTAGATAAGCAGTTAACCCTAGCCAACCATGCTTAAAGAACAAAGCACGAAATAGTCAGAATACCCACAGAACAGAAGAATGATACAAGGCTTTCACAATTCATACTTGGAACAAAAATTAAATAGTACTCTTATTTTGGTGTGTATGGTTCAGTTTCTGATAATAAAAAACAGAACTTGATCTCTGCCTTCTCTGATTCTTCTTAAATAGTATGTCATACCTGTCCTACAGCACTAAATATATCATGTACACCTTATTTCCAAAGCTAAGCTTTCTCTCTGCCCCTCAAAAAGTAATCTGAGGCTAAGGCAAACTTGTCTTGCTCTTTTTGAAACTTTAAAACTTCAAACACACTGGTCAAGTTCTGAACTCAATTTTAAGTTATATTCTTAGTTTCTTTCTTCCTCTATCTTGCTGCATCTTGCATTTTTCTATATCCTTTCAGAAACTGTCTTGATAAGTTATTCAGTTTTTAGTTACTTCCCCTTGACAGCATCGAGTCATTTTACACTCCTCAGAATCTTGGTTTTTTTGTTTTTGATTTTTTTTAGTTTTCAAAACTGAAACTGTCATAAAATTTCTTGTCACATTATTAACCCAAAGATGCTCCAAACCTCTCTGTATTCATATACACTACCTAGAGCCCATTGGTAATCAAGTCTCATAATCTCCAGCAATTCTACCTGTTCTTCCCTATCCAACTATCACCGCCAAAGCCAGAGTTTAAATTCTATTTATTTGGGGTTTTTTAAAAAAATTTTTTAAGGATTTTATTTATTTGAGAGAGAAAGAAGGCGAGCACAAGCAGGTAGAGGGGCAGGCAGAGGGAGAGGGAGAAGCAGGCTCCCTGTTGAGCAGAGAGCAAGACACAGGGTCAATCCCAGGACTCTTTGAGATCATGACCTGAGCTAAGGGCGCCATTTCACTGACTGAGCCACCTAGGTGTCCCTAATTTCTATTTATTTCTTAACTAGGGGGGAGCCACCTATCCTCTAAGTATTCAGAAATTAGAGAGGAAGATTAACACAGAGAGATTTTACTGGCATTTAATACCTAGGACGAGGAAGATTATTATTTGTCCTGCAACGCACAATTAGCACTTCACAGTTTAAAACTGTTCCACCCATTGAGGCACCTGCTTGGCTCACCTGATTGAGCATGTTATTCTTGATCTCGGGGTCATGAGTTCAAGCCCCACATTGAGCACAGAGGCTACTTTAATAAATGAATAAAAACAAACATGCTCCTCCCAAAACTGTCCCCACAAAGAAATGCTGGACTGACTGCTTCTTATCTGATGATACCTGATTTGGGGTCTCACCTACCTCACACCCCCAAACAATCTCTAAACTGACCACAGAATGATCTACAACACGACACTTTCAGTGCTTAACCTCAATGACGTCCCTACTATTTACAGGATGGCATACATCATCCTTGTCAATATTCTTTCTTGAATCTTCACTTCCAACACAAAACCACTTCCCAGTTTTCTGTGATGTACCTTGCTGTTTCACATTTGAAGCTTTACATTCTTGCTCATTCTTCAAAATGAATCAAGTCTTCCTTTCACATACTAATGTGCCCTCCAGTCACTAAAGCTAGCACATAATTCTACACAATAGAATTATTCTACACTGTAATTATTTGCTTCCAAATCATTACCTTCTAACTAGTCTGAGACACCTTAAAAGGAGACTGCAAACATTTTTGTTAGCAATTCCCATTCTCTTCATCACAGAGATGATAAACTGCTAGACTAGTCAGAAAGAGCGTGATCTTAAGTGAACCAAAAGGTATAAATCGTAGTTTCAACTACTACAGGATTTTACATATAACATTAGAATATATATTCTACCAGTACTAAAGTAAGCCTTTGTAATCCACTCCCTCTGCATCACTTTGCTTCTGTTGCACTGACATCTCCTTTGCAATGCCTCCCACAGGCCAAGAACTCTTAACCTCAAATGCTCAGCACTTGCTGTTCCTTCTGCCTAGAATACTCTTCTCCCAGATATCTATACTTTTTGCTCCCACACTTTATCCTTATAGATCTTTGCAAAAATGTCATCTTATCAGATGAGCTCTTCTGAGTAGTTATACAAAATAACAAAGCCTCAGGGCACTTCTCTACCTCTAAGCCCTCACTATCCACCCTTACTTTATTTGTCTGCATTTACCACTAACTCCTCTTAATCTGTTTAATGTTTTTCTCTCAATTAAAATGTAAGTTCCATGTGGGCAAAGCTCTGTTTTGTCTCTACTGCATCCTCAAAGGCCCAAAATAGTGCCTTGTGTACCGTGATCACTCATACTTTTTGAATAAACACTTTCATTTAAATAAGCATATGACAGTCCTAGCATGACTTTTTAAATAAGCATCCAAAATGGTATCTTTTTATAGACCAAAACCAACAATCTGTGACTACCTGCACAATCTGCTGCTGTCAAAAGAATAAAAAAACAAACATGAGCACATTACATGTGAAAATTTTCAAATTTCAGGTGGGAGAGGATCTAACAAATAAAGGGTTTTTTAAATAATGCTTATGAAAACTATTGCATACTTTAGAAATGAGCACATAAAAACTGAAGGTAACTCCAGAAACTAAATTTTGCACTTCACATTAAAAAGGAAAAAGAAATAAGAATTCATGCTGAGATTATAAACCCACAGTAGACCAAACACAAAACCAAAGTTATACAAATATTCCTGGGAGAAGAAACACTGAATCATTAACACGAACTCTACAAAATATACTGCCCCTATAGTATTTTAACTCAAGCAGTTCTCTAGGCAGTAATTTTTCCTCAGCACAATGTCTCTACTACAACAGCTTGAAAAAGCTTCTAAGTCTGAGCTCCAACAACAGGAAGGAAAATGTTATCCCACCTCTGACCAACCAAAAGCAAATCACTCCAAACAAGAATCACAAATATCATGAGAATCTTGATAGCTACTGCTTTTCCCATTCTCAATTCAGAAGACTTCAGCTCTTATAAACCACAAACGTGATATTAAATTTCCCTTACCAATCAAAAGGTTCTAAATGGAAACACACTTTGGATTTTCTTTTAGTTATTTACCTTAAGAATATAAAAACTGAAATACCTTCTTGACATTACATTATTAATAATTCCTAACCCCCACACCAAAGAAAATTACAACATGGGATATAGGTTCTTCGCATTAGGTATAAATGAGAAGTTATGAAGATTCTAGCACATACATGCAGGAAGAAAACAGGCCTACCACAGAAACACAAAAGCATTTTTCCAGAGAGTGGAAGGAACCAATCCCTACTATACAAACAAAATACTCCCACTTTTATTATCTAATATGCCCCCCTCCAACAATGTCTGAAGTAAACATTACCTGTATTAACACAAATAAGACTTTCCAAAAGGTGAGATCACAGAAACTTATTACTACAGTAGTGACAGATTTATGAACAGATTTAAAATTTTGTAAAAGATAAGAGCGCTTGGAAACATATATAGCAAGTGAATACCCAATTAGCCAATTCAGTGCAAGTCTTAAATATCTAATCAATGTAAAACAAAAATGAAACATACAATTTTTTTCACGGAAAATGTCCAGCAAAGTATCAAAAACTTAGGAGTAACCAATTACCAGATGGCTTCACTAATCTTACAGCCATATTCTTAGTACAGCACACAAGCCTATACACATCTCCCAAGGCAGAGTTCACCAACTTTAGAAACTTAAGCCACTTAGTGTTCACTTCCACAGCA